TTAAACTTGTAACTATTTCGTGGATCTTTGAATTCGTTAATTGTCATTACCCACGAAATCAACAAAATCAAATAATCCACGAAATTAGTGGGGTTTGTTTTTTTGCATTGAATCGACGTTTATAGTTCTCATTGTAAGAGGAGAAGAAACCCAGTAACAAATAAAGAAAAACATGTGGAATCACTATATCCTGTGGATGACAATATGGTAGTTCCTTCTTATTTCGTATCTCCTTTGGGTTAGTATCTCTGACGTCAGAATGTGTGTCCTTATGTGTTATCGCTATGGATAATTGTATCTACTTTCATTGTCATTATGAGTTACTTTGCATTTACGAGAACAATGCTAAACCTCTGGTATGGTACAGGGTATTGGCAGTCAATTTTGGTTTGTTTGTGTTTTACGTCCTATTAACAGCTATGGTTATTTAAGGACGTGCCAGGTTTTAGTGGTGGAGGAAATCTGGAGTTCCCGGGGAAGAAACACCGACCTATGACCAGTGCCTCGCGACTGCCCCACGTAGGTCTCGAACCCGAAACCCAGTGTTGGGGGCTACTGGTAGCAGAACAATACATCAGACGCCTTAACCACTTGGCCCCCGAGGCCCCTGCCAATAAACTGTATCATGGAAGGTTGGTAAAGGTTAAAGTGGAGGAAAGTGTTTGGAAAAACAACTAAAGCAGAATGAAACTACCTTAAGGAAAGCTTAACCCCTTTCACCAATGGAGACCATAATGGACTCACCCATATCAATGCATGGTAGAGTCTACTAACGATACATGGGGGTGAAAGGATTAACACAGTGTCGCTGTACCTTTTTAATTATCGAATGACATTGACCTTGAGGGAGTTAACGGGTTATCTAAGCTTAAATACAGTAACACACTGACCTCGTTATACTATCAATTGATACAGTGCCTGGCAAACATACAACTAACGTTGGATCAGTAAAACGTTTGATAGCGCTCAATAGCTTCAACATTAAGGATACCCGTACCACTGCAAAACACTTGCTCATTGGATTAAGGGTTCTTCGGCATGACGATGGCTTTGATAAATAATTTCTGATAAGAACGCCGTGCCATGCCGGATTAACATAAAAATTATAAAGATGAAATAAATCAACCGAAGTGTCTTGGTCCAACTGTGCTACTGTTATAGGTAACCCGGAACCAAGGGGAGGTTACTGTAATATATAAATAAATCAGGGCAGTGGGATACGAATCTTTAATACAAAATTAGACATCCCTTCGTGTACGAACGTTACCTACTCACTCGGGTTCGACTGCCGCTTTCGAGATTGGTGACAAAAACAACTTAGGCAGATATAGATTTTACACGTTTATTGTACGACTACATTCAAACTTAACAACGCACGTGGCGGCAAGTGGGTTTCCGAATTTACACCCAAAATTCGGTGAAATAAAAAGGTAACATGGCCATGTCTATAATTCGTACGCACTCCAAATTCTAAAGCTCCCCACGAGACAACTGTGACACGTGGTCGAGAACAATACGGCTATCACGTCCACTCAATAGCTTACCCGTTAACCCTTCTATGTTTGCAACATTCCTTAGCGTTAGCTAGAGGGGCCTACCGCTCATAGAAACCTTCACGTCACGTATCTTAAGGTAGTAATGTGTTATAAGGCTATAGACGCTAACGCATACTTCGAATGAATATTCAATACTTTTGTGTATATCATTCTTAACATTATTAACTATGTATTCCTTTGTAAACTGTACTCAAATAGATTAACCTATTCCTATTGTGTTAACTAATTATGTTGTGCACTAATTTTTGACTTACCGTCTATTTGATTTTGCATTTATTATCTTATTTATCATTGACACTACATTATTCTGTTTGTAAAATCTTCTTAAAAGAGGAAATAAAGAGAATAATAATAAGACTCTTCATAATGGATGGTTAGGCAATTTAATCTTTGATACCAATAGAAAGGTCGCATAAGTATAAAATACATCTGTAAATGGAATAGGTATATTACTTATTAAAATAAAGGTATAGTACAGTAGAGATATCTTTAAGTGTATAAGAGATGTCTTCATAAATTATAAAAATATCTCTAAATATAATATCTAAATACCTATATCTAAATATAATACATGCAGAGAAATATTTAAAAGCATGTCTTCAAACAATCTCTGTTTAAATAAATGTAATCCGTTTTACTGAATTATGCCAGAAACTAATTCTATATATTTTTAAGGAACACATCTAAAAAACAGGTATGTTACCCGCGTCACTTGAATGACACCTAAATGTAACATCCCAAAATAGTTCCATTTGTAAATGTTCACCGATGTAAAAGATCACCGATGTAAATGTTCACTGATGTAAATGTTCACCGATGTAAAAGTTCACCGATGTAAAAGTTCACCGATGTTATTGTTAACCGATGTAAAGTTCACCGATGACGCAACCTAGTTGCGTTATCATAAAAAGCATGGTTCCTAGCATCGTTCGGTTGAAATAACATCGTGTGATTTTCCCCTCAGGCATGTTACGGTAAATCCAAACACGTATCTGCATTACATTTTCAGTCTGGTTTGTCACCTTACAAATACACGTAATGCTTTTAGAATTATCGTTATAAAATTGTTCTAAATCATCACCTTATTTGTGTTGAGTTCTAGAAAATACCCCCGATTGCGTCATGTGCTACCTAATGCAGAAACAATACATAACACATCCTATTGAAGGTGGTGCGCTCTGTTTATGTAACATATGTCGTTATTTTTATTTAAATGCCTCCCCTTGGAGTCCTACGCGCTACTGAACGAGCTAAATAGAAATTATCGCTAGCTAAGTCGGTAGGAAGCGGCTAGTATTTTACCAGGGTGACATACTTCCCCTCAGGCAAGAACTCGCCCCGAGCTTTTGAGTGGACAAAGCGATTCTTGGGAAAGTATTGCTGCGTCAGTATTTCTCAGGACCCCAAGTGGGCACCAATTAACAGAGGTCATTATTTGTTTGAAATGCCTCTCTAAGGAGTCGAACCCGAGACCTCTGGCTTCCCTTGTCTTATGTTCTGCGGAATGACCTAAAGTGAAATTCTCGAAATTTGAAGTCGGTAGGAAGTGGCCAGAAGTTTACCATGTTGGCATTTTGTCAATTTAGACGATTTACTGCAAAGCTGTGCCGTAAGCGTGACTGGCTATTTCGAATTTCTGATCGTAAACTTTCTCTTTCCTGATAGTAACATTCCCTATTCCCTAACTCACGATGCTAACATGTCGTAGTTCACTCGGTTTTTCAGATTATGTTTTATCTAACATAACTTCCGCGATTGATGTCGACTAGTGATTGCCAAACAGAAAGATATTTGATCGAACAATATACCATTTACCATGTGGATTTCGATGTATTATACTAATCGGTGTGCTCTTTTGTTTCATTGTAATTTTGCCCGGTTCTCGTTTTGAGGAAGTTGCTTGGATTTGACCCACATTTACAGGACGAGTATCGTCGGTGAAACAGAAGGAGCTCTTCTTCCGGAAAACTTGGTCTTATATCAGTGGTGTCCATCCAGATTTTAGTTTGTAATATGTTGATGTATTTTTTTTTATCGATTTATACTGATCGTGTAATCAATACAGTTACATAAAAATAATTTTCCAAAGTTACTTCCCTTTCTTAATGTACTTCTCAACGTTGTGATCAGCCCAGGTGAGATAAAATTAGCAGGCATGATTATCTAACATTGCACATTGGAAAGGTTATCAACCATGACCGGAAAAAGAGAAAAAAACACGATCTTTTCTCTAGCAGAAATGGAACTGCATCTATGAATTTCGAATGAATCTGGAAAGTCTATGCCTAAAAGAAAAACAAATCCACATATTCCCAATCAGATACATGTTCATAGCTATATATTTTTTTTATCTGCATTGTTTTTCTCAGGAATTCCCAATCAAATTCTTCGTTAACTGGTAAATGAGTGATTTACACAACAATACAGCTTCCCCTGCTTTAATGTGACGTCATCTCATGATAAGATATGCCATCACGTTTTTTTCCATCTTGATAAAAGTATGATGCTATCACAGCCTTATAGATACTGCAATAAAACACCCGATTTTGCAGCTAGTATGCATGCGTATAAACGCTATGCTATCCGTAATCTTAGTGATATTTAATCAGTTAAATGTGTGTCGAACATATACTGACCTGTATCTCAAACTTCCGGATGACAATGTTGTGATATGTTTTATATCATAGAGATACACATGACTTTTGGACTCATACCCTAGATTTTCTCTATATATGGTATAGCGCTTTGATATGACGAAATGAAAAGACCCTGGTTGAACTTGCCTATTATAATGATGGTTCGTTTGAATTACTTAAAATTACTTACATCGTTCTGTTTATATTTATTAATCTTGTATTTACCTGTAAGTTGTATTTTAAATACTTATCCATTACTTACATCGTTCTGTTTATATTTATTAATCTTGTATTTACCTGTAAAGTTGTAATGTAAATACTTATCCATTACTTACATCGTTCTGTTTATATTTATTAATCTTGTATTTACCTGTAAAGTTGTAATGTAAATACTGATCCATTACTTACATCGTTCTGTTTATATTTATTAATCTTGTATTTACCTGTAAAGTTGTAATGTAAATACTGATCCATTACTTACATCGTTCTGTTTATATTTATTAATCTTGTATTTACCTGTAAAGTTGTAATGTAAATACTGATCCATTACTTACATCGTTCTGTTTATATTTATTAATCTTGTATTTACCTGTAAAGTTGTAATGTAAATACTGATCCATTACTTACATCGTTCTGTTTATATTTATTAATCTTGTATTTACCTGTAAAGTTGTAATGTAAATACTGATCCATTACTTACATAGTTCTGTTTGTATTTATCAATCTTGTATTTACCTGTTAAGTTGTATTGTAAATACTGATCCATTACTTACATCGTTCTGTTTATATTTATCAATCTTGTATTTACCTGTAAAGTTGTAATGTAAAGCCCTTTCCAGTAGTCAACACATCGACTCCGTAATGTAAATAACCTCAAACGACTTGAGATCCTAGCAAATCCCTTAGTGTTATAGGTTATATAACCAAAGTGTCTAGCATCCTAAGTTATATAACCCATTACATGAGCCGGTCACCTGTCCATAATATTTTAACATGTGTGATCCACGAGGTTTAGGTTCAGAGTGACAATGACGCTTGAGTTATATCACAGTCATAAGAATACTTCATGTGATCTTCAAGCGCTTATCTGATCTATAGATCACTGGAGGTCAAATGTCATCCAATGCCACGTCGACATAGCAACGGCGTGACTTGATAGGCATGTCGTCCGTTATTCTGGTCTACATCGACATTGAGGTGTGGTTAACATAGTAGGCAGCTCCTGATGAAACATCATATAGAACGTTTCCCAATGAATGTTCATATCATGCGTGTGTTGCTTTTACACATAAAGAGTGTCAAAGCCGAATAGTTTTATATTTATCTATAATATATGTGATGTACAGCTAGATGTGTATAGAAAACACCTGATTCTTATCTGTAGCTTTCTTTTGTCATACATTTGGTATATATTCTGTATATATACGTGCGCTAGAGATAGCTTTGTACGCTTAGGAAGATCGTTGTGATTATTGTTCCAGTGTCAAAACAAACAAACAACCAAACAAACAAACAAAATCCAAACAGATAAAAAATCCCCCAAAAAACAAGCAAGCAAAACAAACAAATAAAATAAACATAAAACATTAATAAAAAAATCAAAAGAACTATTGTAGAGCCAGCTGACGCTCTACAAAAGGACATGTTAAGTATAAATATATTTATATATATACAATTAATATAAGATATATATCCAATGGATATAATATGAATAAGTCATCTTTATAGAGCCATATCCTGCTGAAGCTAGCAGCTCTAGTTACAGCAGGATATGGCTCTATAAAGATGACTTATTATTTACAACGTGACAATTTACAACTTTTTATTCAAGAAATGATTTATTCTTAAACTTCCTTTTAACCGTGCCGGAATACATTCCTGCTGCAAGGCTACGGCCAAACCTTGGGGACTGATAGTCCACCAGTAATGTCAACCACCCTGTTGCGTAAAATAATCGCTTGATTCACGAAGAGAACGGTTCTTTACAATTAAGTATTTCATATGAGATGTTTAAAATGTCTTTCCTTTCTTTTCAAGTGAAAGGATTATTTAGTAATAATTCAATATATATCAATAATATCAACAAACTAAAAACTCTATATTGGTAGCGTTTTCTGTGCTGAACAAAAGGAGACTATACTTCACAGGAAAAGAACAAGGATCCCCAGACACTCACATCATCAAAACATATCATGTCTGGTTCACGGCAGCAAAACATCCGGTTGAAATAAATTAATGAGTTTGTATTTCCACACACATCAGATAAAATATACTCATTCCCATTACATGTGTATTACAATGCATTACAACAAATACACACGTCCTACATGTAATGGAGGTTTGACGATTTAGTATTTTTTTTGATGCACTTGAGTTAAATGCAGTTACCGAGAAATAAGATGTAGTTTAAAAATCAACGATTTTTTATATGAAACCTCATCACGGTCGCGATACATTGACGTTAAAATAATAAATACTACTACGTCACTACAGCCTATCGTTAAAATATGATAAAAGATATATCATTAAAACTACGTCACATTTGGTCACTCTTCAATTAAAAAAATATACATAACCACAACAATGTCTCTGTGTTATGCAACTACAATTATGTCGTTCTCGCTGCACATTGAAGTAAACTATTTAGTAGGTTATATTATATTACAGTGTTACTGTACATTACATATACAAATTATTTCAATGCCATCACGGCAGCTCCACATTTAAGCTGTCTATATATTTATATAACAAGGTCAAGATTACTTGACATTGTATTTACATATATGTTCATCCAATTAAAACAATATCATGGTCACTGTTAATTGAAGTATATATTTATATAACTGCATTACTGTTGCTGTGTGTTACTTTAACATATGAGTAAATTCACATCACGGTCCCTGCACAGTGAAGTATATATTGATATAACTACATCACTGTTGCTGTATATTACTTTTACATACGATTAAATTCACATCACGGTCCCTGTACAGTGAAGTATATATTGATATAACTACATTTCTGTTGCTGTGTAATACTTTAACTGTCCCTGCTGGTATGGCGTAAGAATTGTATCTGCTGTCCCCATTGCATGATCGTAAGAGGCGACTACATTTGGGATCTTATCTTTTCTCTTCTTTCTGAACAATTTTCCTCTTCCCAATGTTTCCCTTGACAATGCCTCACTTTTGGCCTTTAGTAGAGCGTTCGCCCCTCTGAGGAAGGCTTTGGATTCTGTAGCTGTTGATAGGACGTTAAACAATACTAAACCAAACCAAACCAGTATTACTTTTACATATAATTAAATTCACATCACGTTCACTGTACAATGTGTGTCCGAAAATCTCGTACTGTGACCTACGGAAACAGATGCTTTGGGAGGGTTTCGGCTACGTTGTGGAATAGCTTACCATCTGCTATTAGGAAGTCGAATACCCTGGCCAAGTTCAAGAGGGACATAAAAACTCACCTCTTCACGTCTGCATTTTAGAATCTTTGCAAAGACGTCATGTAAATACCACCCTTTTATTTGTTCAATTATGTGCACATTGCTTGTTAAATGTATGAAAGTGATTGCAAGCCTTTGTTGTTTGTTTTCACAATTATAACCATTACTATTATCCATATGTTGTAAAGCGCCTTAGAGTAATTTTACAAATTATATAGGGCGCTATATAAATGCTGTATATTATTATTATATTATTTATGCCTTGCTTCCATATATATATATATCTTAAAGTTACGTCAATGATGCTGTACATTATAGTTACACATAACTAAAACCACAAGGCGGAGGCTGTACATTGAGACTTTATATATATAACGGTAACGTCACTGTTGCTGCAAATTTAAGATATTTTTTTTTGTGACCACGATTGCTGGTAATTAATTTTGACGATGAAGATCATATCAAGTTAAATGCTTAGATATGTATAAACGCTATCGCTGTGCATTTATATTTCCTTGATCCCATGCTTCTGTAAGTAACAGGATATTCATATATCTAAACAAACCGGACTCAATTAGCATACGGCTGTCATATTATTATAAAACTTAAATACTTGCCTGGTATTGGGATAGTTTACCCTGTATAAACTACAGAATATGCCGTACAACTCGAGCTTAATATTGCACTTATGTATTATTAAAAAACCCCGAATATGTGTAAATATATATGGTAAATGGAATTCGTTTAGATATAAATTGTTATAAAATCACTTACCTGATGTCTGAGTGCGCGTGACGCTCATCAACCTGCTAGAACTTCCAAATCGAGGTCATAGCCGTCCACGTGAATCTTTATTGTCAAACATTCCCAAACACATAAGGTAGATGACTATATAGGATGGCACAGCACGTTAAGTAAACATTCTTGTCTCACGTTAATGTACCAAGAGCAATCAGCTTAAAGAAATTTGAGAACTATCTATTTTCATATTTTTTTCTAAAAACATGTGCTAAAATATTAATGATTTAGATTAAATATATGCCGATGATGCTGTTGAATAACAAGATTCACCAACTTTTTTTAAATTTTAGTTATTATGTAAAAAATATAGATTTGTATTTCACTTGCATGTATCATTAGGCTGACAAAACTTGACAAGCTGGAAACTGTTCTCATTTCTCTAAAGCCCTGTTAGCTTACTTGAAACAAATGCTAAATTCAAATGAATGATAACTTCAACAGCAGATATATTAAACGTTCTTGTTTCTCTAACTCATCACATGAAATATAAAATAAAAAATAATGTTGTTTCTGTACATATATTGTATCGAGATATAAACAATTATTTGTCGTATTATTATGTTAAAGAAAAGATGACAAATATATTAAGCTTCAAGGCAGAGCAATTTGAACTTTGTACAGGTAAACACGCTATTCATACGCGCGAAGGTCCATTATTTTAACGTTTGTTCAGCTTGACGCAAAATTTTCAAAAATAAATTTCTTTGCTTTTAATTGTACAAACGTATTTTATATCGAATCAGTTAGATAACGACTATTACTTGGAGTCTACTAACAATGGTTAAAAGTAATACATTTCAATCTTGTTTTCAGGATTTAATAAAAACATGCATTTTTAGTTGTTCATTAAAATAATATTTCTTTAAAGCAGCACATGATGCCCGAGGCTATACCGCTGATGTATACACATAAACGCAAGGCTGATAAAGGGAGGACCGTCATTTCTCCTGAGTGTTAATGTGTGTCGTATGTGGACAATTCTTTAATAGACATTTTATGATGAGAACGACTTTCCCTTCAGTCTTTATCGAAATAGTTCTTAGCATCAGTAGGGTAAATGTAGTGGCATGTTTAATGTATCATGTTGGAAATATATTGACGGCTTACCTACTGTTCGCGTCATGAACACAGATTAATGATTTATTCATGACGTACTGAATGACAAAAATGGAGAAAAAGTATTATTATTAATTATCCTAATTATGACTCTATATATCAACTTCAAGAAATCACTGGTTCTATTGCGTCTTCATTCGACAGCTACAAATACGTGTGAAACGTTCGTCATTGAGTCTCATTCTTTAATTATTTTGTTATCTATGCTCTAATCATACGTTTTATTGTTTTTACTCAAGTTGTACCCAAAGACCAGAACCGACAAGGCAAATTAATGCGATAAGGTTCTACTAAATGACTAACATAATACACCAACAAGTGTTATGATGTTGTTTCAGTCAACAGTGAAGTGTTACGACAGGGTTCAGGTCAAATAATCAAGTAAAAAGGAAGAGTATTCTGACTGGGTTTTGTCCATTAACGAACATAATAAATCCTAAAAGTGTTTTCTTTGGGTTCAAGTTAAAGGCTAAAACATTAAGCGAAGTATCGTGTCCAATTACAAACGAAAGATCAGGTAAAATTTTATTACATTGTCCAAGTGAAGGAACAACGTAATAAGGAAAACCGTTGTGACGGCGTTCAATTCAATCAAATCATGAAATTAATAAAAAAAAATAAAAATAGAAACTTTATCAATAATCAAGAAGAAACTACCAAAATGCAAACAAAATCTTACACCAATATGACAAATCGACAAAACTAAGGAAAAATATAAAGGATTATCTTTCGAAAACAATTGAAAATTAATCTGACAAGGTGTTCCTCGAGGGAAGGGATCTTCTGATTTATCGACGACATACGCCTTGTAAATATAGGCCAAATCCAAGTAATGTAACGTCCTCATAACGACAGCGGGGGTAATGACAGCTTAAGAACAAGGCTAAATATTAACAAAAAGAAAAACAGCGAAGTATTTTAAAGGGTCTTATTTAAAGATGAAAGTACTTAGGGATTCCAACCAAAGACAAAGGTAAAATGACAAAGTACTCCGACGGGTTTAAAGCAAAATGCTAAAGACAAAGATGACGTATCTGACAAGTTGACGTCAAAGACTAATTTAAAAATAGCAAAGGAAATTATGCTACGAAGTTATTGCCACAATGCAGAGAAGTAAGGCGGGATTCAAGTCAAAAGCCTAAGTCCCAAGACGACGTATTGTGACATGCTCTAGGAGAAGACAGTAGCACAGCAAAAAATATTATGACAGGGTCAAAGTCAAACTCCAAATAAACAAGGCAAAGTGATGTGTCGGGTGAACCGAAACAGCAAAGTATCAAGGAAAAGTAATGTGAACTGGTAGATGCGGCAAAGACCAACGTATCTAGGAAAAATAATGTAAATGGGGTTATAAGGCACAGGGAATTTACGTAAGTCATCATTGTTGGTCTTTGGTTTGACGCTCGCTGCAGTATGTCTTGTGTTACTTGTGGTGTGTTAGACCCGTCCTTCCGTCAACGTGTTATAATGCATATTAATCATTTATATTTGTTGAACCTGCCTCCATGGAAGACGCCAAATTTAAGCATACACAAGTCCATGACTAATGCTTTTTTTAAGCATTCACACGTGGATTATTGATGATAATTTGATGCATTATGACACGTTGATGCAGCAATGCCTAAACACACTAGAGCAGCACACGGCAAAATACTTCGACGAATGTCATCCTAAAGACCAATGTAAAAAATTCAAACTATACTATCATGGTATTCAAGTCAGCGACGGTTCAGTTTTGTAGACAGAACAATCATATTTGTCATTCAAAATTATCTCTACTTTCATATGTGTACATTATCAATTTAACATGTGAACGACCTTTTATCAGATAAATTATGCATCCTTGATATTCACGTCAACGTTTTATACGAAAGCATGTTTACCTTAAAGTTTCTACTGGGTAAGTTGATAATCTCGGACATTACACTGTACAGTCCTATCACACATAATTAGCATTACACCAATATTTGATATAATACAAACACTTGAAACGTTTATGACAAACTCATGTTCGTTTTAAATGAATATTCAAATTCAAAAGCAAAGTAAATGTTCATCTCGAGAGGTGAAACGTAAATAGATATCGACTATATATCAAAATAGATTTTTTTTAAAGGAATTTTATACCACACATGATAATAGCTGTATACGTATATTATCATGGCGTTGCCAATATATATAATACCAAACTGACCAGGAGGTCATAGGACTATAAATCCTGTAGGACCGGTTAACGTTAGCTAGTATTATCAATAGCAGTCGTCAAAACATGACCGTTTTGTTTATTTGCTTGTATTGCAGGTCATGTTAACAGCCATGGACATTTATTTAGGGACGTGTCAGATCTTTGTGGTGGAGGAAAGCCGGAGTACCCGGAAAACCATCGATCTGCGGCAAGTACCTGCCGACTACCCAAAACATACATGTGTTATTGTCTAGGAACAATAGATATTTCTACTGAACAGATACAGTATTATGTTGGCACACTTTCATGTAGAGAGTGCTAGCAATCTGTCTTGTTTCTTCAATCTACATGTTTAATAGTGGCTTTGTTACTTACCACCTATGTAAAGCAGTATAATGGTATTAGCAATTGATTGTTTGAAGTGATGTACTGAAAGCTTTAATTTTTATATTACTCACCAATATATGGTGAATTGTTAAAGTCTCATTGGTTTCGGTGTCTTCTTTCCCTTTCAAATATCTCTTTTTGTGCTGATAATGTGCTATCTACCTTGCTCTTGTCCGTTAACGTTGTAGATAATTTGTCTCCCTTTGTATGGTTACTGTGATATGTTTTGTCATTTCGTGCTCGGACATGCTTTCTTTGTTGACGCTGATGTTACATGTAATCTCCTCCTGTGGTGCTGGTCCCTACAGGTAGGGCGTAAGCATTGTACCTGTACTTGCATGATCGTACGAGGCGACTAAATTTGGGATCTTATCCTTCTTTCTAAACAACTTTTCCTTCCTAATTTTTACCTTGACAATGCCTCACTCTTGGCCTTCAGTTGAGCGTTCGCCTCTGTGAGGAAGGCTTTGGGTTCTGTCCCCTGGCCGAGACATAACAGAGTCTGTAAACCCCGGGTGGGGTGTCCTGATCGGTGTCTTCGACAGTATTTTTCATTAAGGTAGTACTATAGAGTCAGCATCAGTTATCATAAGGAGACAAACACGAACATATTGGAGTGATTTGGTGTTACATTATTGGAGTGATTTGGTATTATATTATCGGAGTGATTTGGTATTATATTATTGGAGTGATTTGGTATTATATTATTGGAGTGATTTAGTATTATATTATTGGAGTGACAGGTTTTTGCGAAACATTTTTAGGATCACTTCAAAGATGTGAATCAACATTTCCTATTTTCATAAAGGCCACTTGTCTTACACGTATCGCACTCGTCTGCTGGACATCGTTTATGTAAAGGGAAACATAAAGTTATTAAACCATATCATCACGATTGTCTCTATTGCGAAACAATTGTTTAATATGTTTTTTTTTAAATAATTTCATAATAAAAAAATGTGTTGCGATGCAGTTGACATAACTGTGTTTGCTAGAAATTAGAATATTTCAAAAAAGGGTCGGGGGGGGGGGGGGGGGGGGGNGGGGGGGGACGGGCCTTTTATGGCAAACACTGTACACTAGATCAATGTAGCCATCTAGGAATGCAAGATATCAGAATGAGTGTCCAGTGTATACATGTAGAACGTGAAAGGGAAAGTGACTGAAAGGCAGGTAACGTCTTTATGTTGCTGTATCCTCTTTACAGAAGGGGGGATACTCCAAGTGAAGAAACACTGTGATGGAACTCTTCTTCGCAATTATACAATGTAACTAGTACAATGGTACGTTACACCTTAAACATGCTGGCATCACGATGCAAGTGCTACTGAACCCAACGCAAATATAACAAAGAACAAAGGTTATTTATAGAATTATAATATAATTTATCTTAGTTGAAACATAAGGGTACAATACTAATGCAAATCTTCATATTATTTATCAAACGGACATAATGCGAATAACAATTATATTTCGTAATAATAGACTAAAGTGACTAAAGAAAATCATTATTAATAGTAATTATTTAAACCTAACAATCGAGTCGATTACTTGTCATCAGACACATTTAACAATTTACTCCAGATCCTTTGAATGAGCACTGTATATTATTTTGATAATTTATGGAGTTACGTTTTTGTAAACAACCTTTTCCGTGTTTTTCCCAATACAAATACTACATGTAAATTGATGAACAAACCTTTTAATACAATACGCGATGCATTTCTGTACTGAAACAAAAAGTAATTTAGTTCATCTGGCCTACAAAGTTCTACCACTACGTACTGGGTTTCGTTGTGGACAGTTAATCTAAAAAGTATTATACTCTCAAAACAAAATCCTTTTCCAGATGCACAGCGAACCGTGCCAGTACCATGCATCCTTGTATGGATTTCATATGAACCTTTACCTGCGGAGTTATTAGTTGTGCATGCCCATATTTAACATGGTGACATCACGTGGTTGACACAGACATGTATATATATATGTGTGTGAAGTGAAAATGTAACTTGCTGTCATCAAATCTGTTTAAGGCAAACCACTTAGATAGCGCGGTAATAGGGTCACACAAAAAACAAAACCGTCTCAGAATATTTTACCCATAAACTGTGAATCACTTGTATCGAGATACATATTTTAGCATTAATGAAAAATAAATTAATTAACTGAAATCATAATAAGAGGTAAATATTCATAATTTTCGCAAAAGAAAAGAAAAAATTGATCAGAAAACAATAACATGAAACACAGTAATATAAACTCCTCTTCCTGAATTTAATCAGTTTGACGGTTTGCTTACGAATATTTTACGACTTTAAGTGCATATGTGCACGGGTTTATACTCGTTAAGTGTGACCAGAGGAAATAACTGCTCAAACATGTCGCATTAATACAACTAAGTCACGTGATATATAGCATTATGCATGGTTCCGCGCACAGGTAATACACAAAACCAACATACGAACCGTATTGTTTTCATAAACAAGGCGAGACAGTTAAATTAATAACTTATCTTACAAATACAATTGCGCACTTCTAGGCATATTCCAAAAACATCATAGCAATCAATTACATTAACATGTTTAAAAAGGAAAAGATGTGCTACCAGTTACGTGCCCGTATATATATATATATATATTCTTCTAAAATATTGCGCAATCAGCAGTGGTGTGATAGAAAAAATAGAGGTTAAATAACAAAAATTAGTGTGAGAAAATATGATTCATAAATGAAAGCATAAAAAAAAAAAAAAAAAAAAAAAAAAAAAAAAAAAAAAAAAAGAAAAATAAAATATTACCTAGTTGGTGTAAATATATTAACACCTAGTTGGTGTAAATATATATACTCACTGATTGAAATTTACACTCGTTGTAACAGAGCTGGCAGCAGTTTGCCCACTTGGCATTATCCTCATAATTCCAGGGGTTACACTAACTAAACGTTCTCCCCACCCCTAGAATATGCTATGACAAAATTGAAGGCACGCGGCTCATTTTTGTCTTGCCGCCACGAAGTAGTCATGGGCCATTGACTTTGTAAGCATCTTCGTTGACATTTAGTTTTCGTTTAAGTTAGTTTCTCTGATATGTGCAGTGATGGTCAAAGTGATGGGCACAGGCGAGACATATCAATCTGAATGGCTTGTCTTTGGCAACAAATACTGACCCAAGCGCTAGGCTTTCCGTAGCATCACACGACTTCAACGTGAGTGAATCTTAATGCTACGCTTACCTGTGATTATGTTTGATGTCTTATCCACAAGGTGCCGCGTACACAGGCATCATTGTTGTACAATGGATGCCGAGAACGAAAGTGAACATAACCCCTTGAATGTCGAGAACGACTTGGCATCAAAAAGATATCTAACTCATTTATAGAAATAAAAAAATCAAACGTATATTCCTTATATAATTCTACTCTTTCTCTAGTTGCTTGTTTAGAGTAACGTTTCTCATACTTCTTCAGCTTTTTTATGATTTTTTTACATAGGTTCTTTCAGAAAAAAACATTTAATTGTTGTGATTTTGAATTAAACTGATCATTCTCAACAGGAATTATTTGAGAAAAAACATCTGTCACAGAATTGGAATCGTAATATGTGGAAATAAAAATAAGCGGTTAGTTTAGGTAAATTCGCTTACAAAAAACGAAAAAGAAAGTGAGAAAGAAAGAGAAAAAACGAAAAATTCACGACACTAAAAGACATGAAAAAAACGAAGATAAACTAAATAAACGTAATTAAGAACACGAATTGCAAGTGATTACTGCTAACAATAAAATAAGAATTTAAAAATAAAACTAAAAAAAAAATGCAGCAGTTTACAAAAACCGGGTGTATTGTTTTAACGAGGGTAATTGATATACAACCGATCGTCATATTAATCTCGGTAACATTTCCGGTTTTTCCATGCACTTCCGGTTCAATCGTGTAGGATGAAAACACTCTTGTTCAGGAAACTTTTTTGAAAAAATCGAATGGCCATCTTTTCCTTGCTTTTATATAAATGTCAATTATCACTATATATGCTGAGCACATATTCATCTCTGGCGACTTTCCTTGGTAAGAATTTCTTTTTATTATAATAAAATAATATAAATATTTTGTTATTAACGATTATTTTTTGTAATCATTCAATTATATTGCTGCTTTCAAAATACTTTCTTTTTAAATGGATGAAAAATATATCAAAGTGTGTAACAATATTCATTCAACCTAACGGGTTACTGATATACCGACATTGCGACTCCATATATTATAAGATGGAAAACAATAAAAAAATCAATAAAGCATTTGGAAGAAGGGGAGTATCAGCAGTATAAATCTATTAAAAGAAATAAAACATAAAAACGCAACAGCGTACTAATTAACAATTGATTAGTGTAAATACAAAACGTTGGTGCTATTAGTTATGTTACAACAGAAACGACTGCTAACATAGCAGACAGTCAAATTTAAATATGGCAGTAATATAATTAAACACAGTGTTTAATGCAGTGATAGTGTTAGGTTCACTAAAATAATCTAAGAACAATGACCGTTCTAAAGCCAAAATAACTCTGAATAAATGTTTGAATGAGCTAAAAATATTTTCACAGCTGAACCCAATTGTATTAAGAAAACTCCAATTCCAGAGAGCACGTTCGTATTAAAACAGTGCTGGACCATTCAAAGCATAAAACACGTGGTGTTGGGCACGTGGTGCTGGTCATTTGTTTGAAAACTAAATGCTAATATATAATTAAGTTCCATTTAAGTCTTTCAATAATCCTAGATTTATTTTAAAAAACCCCACTTATTTTGATATTTAAAACGAAAAAAATTGTATTTAAAAAGCTATTTTGTAAAATTATCATATGATTAAAAAATATAAATATAATTGACAGAATAAATCAAGGCAAAAATGACACTGATATACATTAAATGTGGAAAAAAAGATTATCCAAAATTAATCATCCGTTTCGTTTCTTTAGAATTCTTACATTTTTATCCAGAATCTTGAGTAAGTCACAAGAAAGTGCAGTTAGTCTGAAGGTTTTGGTGACGTGCTAACCGTTACCATAGAAATGTGAGATACAGCCAGGTGAGCAAGTTATTGTGCGGAAGTACATAACATAGTTATAATCTTAATCCGGATTCGGATTATCCGGAAATGTTACTTTCCAACTCTTTGAAACTCTTTGAAACTCAACAGTACTTGTCTCATTGATTCCAAACCGGCGTTTGTAAGACTTACATAGATTCAAGAGTCCATAGAGTTACAGAAACAAACATGTATGTATATAATTATATTACATTTATATATATATATATGTAAATAGTATGTATAGATATATATTTATATATGTTTTCATATTTTTGAACAATAACTACAATATTCCAAGAGGGACATCACAATAATTCTATGATATCACAAACCGCAGTAGTTAATAGAGAGACATGATATTAAAATTTAAAACATGAGTTCATTGGTCAGTACAAACAATATAGGACAAGATAGTTCAGTGACCACTCGCCAGATAACACTTCAATGAAACGCTGTATCTTAAAAAAGAGTTCACATCAGTTATCGTTCTTTGTGCTTTCACCTTTCCTGCGGATATTGCACCGATGACGACATTTCAGCTCAAGGATGTTGTAACGTTTCTTCGAACGACAACACCATATAATAATTAAACGCTTGGTGATTGGTTAATAACTCCTGAACGAATTCCAACCATAATTGTTCTTTACCCGCAGCGTTTATAAAGTACATGTTGTTTCAGTAGGAAACACACATATACCCTTTGCTTTTAACACGACCAACAGACAAGGAAAATGCTTAAAATTCACAACCCTTTCAACCCTATGTAACTTTAGTAGACTCTACCATGCGTTGATCTGGATGTGTCCATTATGGTCTACAGTGGTGAAAGGGCTAAATGTTCATTCCGCATATTCACTCCGTTCACAATTTAATAATCTTGTCTCATACATGTTAGTTTTCTTATTGTTGAACTCCGCAAGGAGCTCACTTAAATACACTCAGATATCTGGCTTAGTGGGCTTTTTGTTAATGATGCGTGTCGTTCAATGTTCGTTTTTCGAATCAGTCAAATATGCTCAGAGTTGAATACTCCGTCTTCAACCTTTCATATCCTATAAAACATTAATGGAATCAAAATAACTGTCCGTCACATTCGAATTAGAATTGATATCTATTCTTGAAATTGACCATAACGCTACTATCTCTAATAGTTCCATTCCATCTAAACGTTAAAATTCCTGGCTCAAATCCTTCCTTCCTCGTTCAGTTCAACTTACACATTACCATTTCTAACCCAATTGTTATCCATATGGTTTAACTCAATTAAAACGTCCATGCTCCTGGCTAAAATCCTGTCCAAAGTCGTTCAATTTAACTCTTATTTGAATACTCGCTTGAAGAGTAATATTCCTTACATCAATCGTTCAATTATTTCACCTTGGAGTCTGACGCTGCACAATTGTCCTCAGCCGTCCTCCAATGATTCCCGATTCGTGTCCACTATGACATACATGTTCTATGCCGTGTTTCAGTTGTTAATAAATCAACCTTTAACATAACAGACATATTTTGCAAGTACACTGCACCCTCGAAAGACGGGGATTCCTCTAGATCTTTCCACATACATGTTTTCTTTCCACATACACGTATTCGTTAAGTGTATATTTTGATTTTAGGAAAAGATGTATCTGTATACGACATTGTTTTTTGTCTAACACACATATATATATATGTTTAATACAGAGCTTTCCTTTCGATACATGTTCCACTTGGTCATTGTCATGAGATACGTAATCCCAATAGTCATTTATGTGAGACACACGTTTCCATTGGTAGAATGGATCAGAGTTTCTAGTTGACCTATTTTTTCATTTTTACATACAATGTTATCATTCAGGTCATTGCATGTTAACAGTTTTGCTAGGTTTTACTAAATCTACATTTCATAAAAACCTTTCTCAAATATATATAGTTTACATTACGTCAAAAAAGCAATTGGGAGTATGACATTCCATTGGAAAACGTATCCTGTAGATATGGTGTCAATAAACAAACGACGTGTTGAATTGTAAATACGTTTCCAACAAAACAGCAACCATTAATAGTTTTATATATTGGAAGGCCATTAAAAATAACCTTTTATACGGGACACACTTCTGTTGGGGAGGTACACATTTTTGTAACTACACTGGCTATTGCAATCTAAGAATGACACGGTAATATGTATACCTTACTGGTGTTTACAATGTAACACCAAATCGACATATATTATATACACCCCTTATTTATCCGTCACAATATTTACCGTGTGAACACCCGTTTCTATTATTAGATGTTATGTAGTGTATATTTCTGCCCATCAAATTATGAGCCGTGGCCCCTTATTGGCTGATGTGCGTTTGGATATGTATTTCCATTGGTTGAAGCATGCCGTCGGAAATCAGCATCTGGTGACATTTTTGTCATCGAAAAAGTGCGGGTCAACCTGTATATCACAACATTATAGAGCTTATTTCGAAACACATACATAACAAGTGTTTCGATTGGTTTACTGCTCTGCTATATGTGTTGTCATTGGTGGATTTAAATTATGCTCTCCTTGTCTTGGCTAGGTGCGACCCGTTCTCCTTTGAGCCAGTACGTGATCACAGTTCCTTTGCCCTGAAAAGAAAAGAAATACTACTGATAAACATTGTTGATAACTACATTTTATATCACCATCTTTGAAGACAGAAAAATGAGGTTGTGGTACTTGAGAATAAAATTTTACACATGTGGTGATTGAAGTGTTTTGACTCTTCAAATTGTATCTGGAGTGGTAAATTTTACGTTGTTTTTTTCAAACCTTTTCAAATGGTATTTTTCATAATTAAAACTTGCAATTTCGACCTTCAGCGTACTCATAGATAATATAACAACAGAGTATGTATGGTCCTTTGAGTGTGGTTGATTATTTCATGAATTGCGGTTTGAAAAGTTCTAAATAATGAATGCATTACTAATTTTAAGCTTTCCTTAATTAAATCAAACAAATTGACATAACGAAGGTACGAAAAGTATTCCGACTTCGGGACATTGATGGTATGCCAATATCTCTTTTCTTTATTGTAACGACTGGCAAAATAAGTCCTTGAGTCATCCTCAAGTTACCTAAAGACTGGATGTTCATAGACTTCATAAAAAGACTTTTAACTTACCGTATACTTGATATAGGGACTTAAGCTCAAACACAAAATCTCTCAAAGATTTAGCATGGAGACTTAAGTTCAAACTGAATCTCGTATTAACTTAGCATAGAGACTTAGGCTCACAAACAGTCTCCCATAGAATAAAGCTCAAAGTTCAACTCCCTGTGGCTTATCAGAAAGATTTTAATTCAAATTAAATCTCCCATAGAGTTAACATTGATACTTCAGTTAACTCAGTTTGAGCAGAACTCAACGTGTGGGTGGTATCGTAGCTATATGTCAATATCATGTTTGCTAAAGCTAAGACAATATAAAGGAGAACAAATAAAAAAACCGGAAGATCATTTCACAACTCACCTTCATCTCAACAGGGCCACGTAGTTCCAAATCAAACGTAGTGAACGTATCAAGTACCTCCTTAGTACACGGACTCACGTGGATCCTCAAAGCTATAAATAGACAGTTAGCAGGTCATAGTCAATGAGGTTTTGTATTTGATAATTGTTATTGTTATTAATCGTTTGATGAGGAAAATATGTGGTAATTCCGTGTTTTCGTATTGCAGAGTTATCTTAGCAGGTATTGATTGTTACGTCATTTGTTTGTGAGAGTACCGTCATCAATTTTTGAGAAAACGACGTAATTTTCTCACACAAACCAATGACGTAACCATCAATAGCTGCTCACAAGAGAAGATCACTCTGCAATACGTAATGACGGAATATGTACCTCAACAACAAACACTTTAATAGTTATATTAGATATGATATGATTATGCTTTTTATCATTAAACAAAACAAAACGTAAACAAAATACTGATTTAGTAGAGAGCATTGATGGTACAGTTTAAGTGACGTCATTGAGTGACTATAAATCATAATAATAATTCGAGGTTCTTATATACCGCTTTATCACAACCTAGTTTATAGGTCGTCTCAAAGCGGTGTACAAATTATTATCCGTGGTTATAGGGCCTTTGCAACCAGCCAATATCTTTCTCAACTTCCTGGGGAATATACAGCCGGTGCTGCCATTTCAGCGCTCACAGCTAGCATTCAACAATTTTAGCACTGCCGAACCACATAGTCATTTACAACTGAGAAGACTGGAACAAGCAGAGTAAAGTATCTTGCTCAAAGATACAACACAGTGCCGTGCCGTGAGTCGAATTCTCAACCCTTCGGTCACGAGCCCGGCGTTCTACCACTTGACTACCGTGCCGCCTATATCAAACCAATGCTACTTACAATGATAACAGCGATTCAATATTCAAAATTATCGACACCACGTGATCAGTATTCAACCAATGAGGATGTAGAAAAATGGAATCACCTAATATTTGTATGTATTGAGAAAATGTTAGTGTCCACATCAAGGTTACAATGCTTCATGAAAAATTAGCATCTATTCTAATGCTTGAACTTCGATTCTGACATAGATTCCAAATAAGAAAGCATACGTTTGAATCGTTAACGATTGAATATTGCTCTTTATAAATTCATTGGTGATTAATAGAACTGTTCTAGAGAAAAAATGTCGCAAAACCAACCCAACTCCATCATATTGTTAAGCCAATACTTAATTCATGTATGTATATACTTGGCACTAGTCACCATATTTACAGGAGTATAAAAAGTTAACGCATTTTAACGTTCTTTGATGTACAATGAATTATTGAATATTTCCTGTCATAGACGGGTCAGACATGAAGCATTTTGAATACAAAGAAGCGCGCATTTTCTATAATTTGTCAATATTGCTTCCTTCAATAAATGCACCAAAAGACTTTCCTCTGTTGCGGCTGACCTTTAATGGTTAAATAGTGTAAAATTACAGAGACGTTTAGATGCATAGTCAATGTTTATTTCGTCCATTTCATTTGACAACACTTGGTGATAATGGAGTAAAAATTTAAGTAAAAATAGACATGTTTGAGATAATTGGATAAAACTTACGCAGCCCGTTAGATTCCATACGAGACGTTGTATTGACTGTGTCTCCAAACAGGCAATATCGAGGCATCTTGAGGCCAACAACCCCAGCTACAACTGGACCTACAAATCAGGTGAGGTAATTATTTTAATCAAGGGAGGTAATATTATAAATCAGTAACGGTTATACAATAAACCAACAATTCCAGCTACCACTGGACCTACAAACCAGGGGAGGTAATGATTTAAATCAGGGGAGGTAATATTATAAATCAGGAACGGTTATGCGATAAATCAGTAGAGAACAAATTTAATCAAGAGAGGAATTGCTACATATAAGGGGAAGTACTAATACAAATTAGAACAGGCAATAAAATAAATACACCAACATACTATAATACTAGTAATGAATAGTAACAATAAACACAGTCAGTACTGACGTTATGATATTTATACATCTGGTCCAAGTGTTCATCTATACGAAGATAAATATTTTTACATTTTCAATCAAATTACGCATAGGTTAGCTGTATACATGTCACATTTAGTTACCCGTATGCAACTGCCCGTATGTACTTACCCGTATGAATACCGATACGCAGTTTGAGCTGTTCGTTTGGTCGGTGACGAATTTTGAAAGACATCGTAGCATTCAGTAACGATATGGACATCCGGGCTATCTCACGAGCGTGTAAGTTTCCATTTCGCATGGGCAAACCCGATACTACCATATATGCATCTCCTATTGTTTCAACCTTGAAGAAAAACAAAAGAATGACGTTACGTATCCTAAAATATCATAAAATATTTATATCTTAAGTTAAAGGGTACCAACAAGTAAAACTCTGCTATTTTAATTGTCACTACTTTCAAATATTTGTTTAAGTCCGCTTCAAAAGAAGTTTTCCTTTAAAATCACATGTTACAAGGAACTATGAAAATTGTTATACATGGACTGTATAACGGAATATTTAACTTTAAATTTCGCCTTTTTATGAGTTATGAGGGATAATTTTTCAAAACAGCGAATACCAGTAAGCAATTAATTAAATATGAATGGCAAAATTAACACTGGGGGGATAAGGATTTTTACGGCAAAGGACGAAACGTGGCAAGGCGAAATGTTACTGTTAGAGAGTATACAAAAAGCCTGCTTAGATCATGCACTTGGGTAGTGCAGGCCAATTATTTTCAGAACATACCTTGTATACATCAAAATTTTCTATAACTGAGTCGAACGCTGTGTACAGGTCATTCAGCAATTGTACAACCTAGGTAGAAACAAAGTGTGAGTGATATAAACATTTATATATAACATGACGTCATCAGATGTCAAAAAAAGAACCAGATATGTCCCGTAACGTCCCATTGTAAAACTCTGATTAGGTTTTCAAGCCTAATGTCTTGTCACGGTGATAAATTGATAAAATAGTGCATTTTATTAATTCTTTTGGAATTTTTAGGGAAACATGAAGCCGAATACCACGAGCAGTTCACACGCGAAAATTTCTAATTTTACAGTATTCGTTAAACATAAGAATCCTACTGTGGTTGGTTTCACTAAACATGTAATATGGATTAATAGAATTTCTCACCCCACCGAAGCTTTGCTAAGTGTTTGGCAACTGAAGAATCTTTCCCCGAGAGTTGAGATTCCCCTATCTCACACTCAAGGGGTGAATGATTCTTTTTCTCTTACCCTGTTCACCCATTGTGTATCATACAGTGTATATATAAGATAATGCTAACGTTACAGACTTAGCTCATGGTTGACGTGACGTTGATGGACTGTTGACGTGACGTCATTGTATTACTGACGTGACGTAATACCATTGTTTTGAATAGGAGAATCCCCGTCTCAACCCTGGAGTGAGATTAATAGAATCTTTCACCACCTTGGGGGTGAGACAGGGTAATCTCAACCCGAGGGGTAAAAATTCTTAAGCCTCGTGTTTGACAGCTTAAGAATCTTACCCCGAGGGTTGAGATCACCCTGTCTCACTCCCAAGGGGGTGAATGATTATTTATCTCTAACCCTGTTTACCCTTGTATTTTATATAGACGTTACATCAATGCAAGACAATGTTGATGTGATTCGGCTGTATTGTCGACGTGACGTCATTGTATTGTTGCCGTGACGTCATGGTTTTGTTGCTATGACGTCCTACAATTGTTGAGAACGTGCAAAGAACACGTGTAGCTTGTCTCAACCCTAGTGTGAGATAAGAAAATCTCACACCGGTAAAATGGTGGGTATCCCTGTCCAGGGTACGAGAATAATAGAATTGTTCACCCCCTTGGGGGTGAAATAGAAGAATCTCAACCCGAAAGGGAGGATTCTTAAGTTGTCAAACACGAGGCTTTGCCGAGTGTTTGGCAACTTAAGAATCTTTCCCCGAAGAATATTTTTCTCTTACCCTGTTCTCCCATTTTGTATCATATACACAATGTAATGATAACGCTACATGCTTAATTCAGGGTTGACGTGACGTTGATGGATTGTTGACGTGACGTTATTGTATTGCTGAAGTGACGTCATGCCATTGTTATGAATAGGGGAATCCCCCCGTCTCAACCCTAGGGTGAGACTAATAGAATCTATCGCTACTGGTTGTGTAAGATAGAGAAATCTCAACCCGAGGACTAAGATTTTTTGTCAGAACGAGGCTTGCCGAGTTCTGGACAAAAAATCTTAGTCCGAGGGTTGAGATTTCTCTATCTTACACAACCAGTAGCGATTGATTATTTTTCTCCCATATCTAACAGTATTTGAATGTGAAATAAAGGTAAACATGGACCCAAAACACATACAGGCAATTTGTTGATGGATTGTTGACGTGACGTCATTGTATTGTTGAAGTGACGTCATGCCATTGTTATGAATAGGGGAATCCCCCCGTCTCAACCCTAGGGCGGAGACAGATAAATCTAGCACCGGCAAAACGGGAGATAAAACCGTCAGGTGTGGGAGAAAAGAAAAATCTCACACCGGTAGAAGTGCGGATACACCTGTCCTGGGTAAGAGAAAGGTTAATCTCAACCCGAGGGGGAAGATTATTATGAATCTTAAGAATCTTTCCCCGAGGATTCAGATTCACCTATCTTACCCACAAGGGGGTAAATGATTCTTTTTCTCTTACCCTGTTCCTTAATGTGTATCATATACACAATATAATGATAACGTTACATGGTAAATTCAGGGTTGACGTGACGTTGATGTATTGTTGAAGTGACGTCATACCATTATTATGAATAGGGGAATCCCCCCGTCTCAACACTAGGGTGAGACAAGGAAATATTACACCGGTAAAAGTGCGGATACACCTGTCTAGGGTAAGAGAAAAGGAAATATCACACCGGTAAAATTATGGATACACCTGTTCAGGGTAAACGATAATGTCCTGGTTTACCTGCATCGGCGTGGATTCCGATGACATGGCCGTAAACCCACAGATGTCGCTGAAGTAAATCGTCACGCAGTTATACGTCTCAGCATGACAGATCTCCCCCCGCATCAGGTTGCAGGCTACTGACCTGTTAATAAAGTGAGGGAGTGATTTTAAATAGAAACAAAAACAACTCCGTGAGCATGAAAATAACAAATACACAATGTACCACAAACCAAACACTAAACGGTAACATACTGTGAATCTATAAATTTTCGTTGGGGCTGAAATTTTGGGGTTTCCCGACAAAATACTATTTCTTGGATTACGAATACCCACTTTAACGGAGAGTTGCTTTATATAAATTGTAACATTGTAATTGCTATGTTGACCTATCAATTTTTGAAAGAAGATTACCCACGAAATCAACGAAATTAAAAGCTCCACGAAAATAAGTGAGTTCACAGTATAAAATATTATCATCGCACATGGACAAAATAACAACAGCGTCAACACACAACGGCAATGATTAAGACAGTTTCATCAGCACATAAGGGCAAAATGTTCATGTACCGCATCGCCAACACAAAATGTAACACAGAGTCAGCACGAAAGGGACATGTCGTTACAAAGCACACAGGGGCAATGTACACCACACGGCCACCAATCACCACAGTGTACGACTGCCTAAATACATAGGGAAAATAATACGACAAATTAAACACAAGGGAACAAATTATATCAAAGCCTACACATAAACAGGGAAATTATACCACAGCCTTAACATAAACAGGGAAATTATACCACAGCCTTAACATAAACAAGGAAAATTATACCACAGCCTTAACATAAACAGGGAAATTATACCACAGCCTTAACATAAACAGGGAAATTATACCACAGCCTTAACATAAACAGGGAAATTATACCACAGCCTTAACACACGGGGACAAAATATACCACAATTTCAACACAAGGACACTAATCAAATCTGCCACGGGGAGTCGATCTCAGGACATCCTGACTATAAAGCAATGAGATGTTCCCTGTTTCGCAAGGCTACTAAGACGAACTATCTTTAAAGACTGATAACAAATAACCATTTTTTATATGAGGGAATAAATTTAACATAAAAATAACAATTTATATAGAGAAATAAAATGGTTGCATTCTCTACCTAGCCTTACGATCTGCTACACATGTACTACAATGTAGATGTCACAGTCGATGAGGGATATAAATAGAACTACAACCCTACGTGTCTATATATGGACATACGCCGCCTTCACCACACACTCCAATTACCGACACGAAATGTCTGTGATAAAACGGAAATTAACTCAGTCACCCCTGAAGACACATTTGAACTCTTCCAATTCAAAGGCCGGAATAGTTTATTATGAAATTTCAGGGGTAAGCGGGTTAAATCAATACAGCCGGGGATTTATTTTAGCAGCTGTAACTTGATCACTGAGGAGAGTCTGAGCCGTCTCTATTGATAATATATCAACCTCACATGGAAAGAGAGTGGGATATTTTTTCTCCCGTGTTCTGCTCATTTATTTGTAGAAAGTTACAGATTTAAAGCTCAGTGGTATCATGCTATCAATTTTAATAAGACCGGGTTTTATTACCGCTCGTTAAATTGACAGAGAATGATGTTCCACGGACAGAGATATCAAAAATAGCTGCTTTACGCCTCTCGAGTGGTCTTTCATTGTAGTTTAGCCATTGGTTGTGTCAGTGGTGTTGTTCGAAATAAGCATTCATTTTGCTAACTGTCAACTAGTTCACTAACTATCATCTAGTTCACTTACAGTCATCTATTTCACTAACCATCAACTATTTCACTAACTGCCATCTAGTTCACTAACTATCATCTATATCACTAACTGTCATCTAATTCACTTACTGTCATCTATTTCACTAACTATCATCTATCTCATTAACTGTCATCTATTTCACTAACTGTCATCGATTTCACTGTCATCCATTTCACTAGCTATCATCTATTTCACTAACTATCATCTGTTTCACTAACTATCATCTATTTCGTACTAACTATCATCTATATCACTAACTGTCATCTAGTTTACTAACTATCATCTATATCACTAACTGTCATCTATTTCACTTACTGTCATATATTTCACTAACTGTCATTTAATTCACTAACTGTCATTTTGTTCACCAACTGTCATCTATTTCACTAACTATCATTTATTTCACTAATTGTCATCCATTTCACTAACTATCATCTATTTCACTAACTATCATCTATTTCACTAACTATCATCTATTTTACTAACTGCCATATATTTTACTAACTGTCATCCATTTCATTAACTATCATCTACTTCACTAACTATCATTTATTTCACTAACTATCATCTATTTCATTAATTGTCATCTATTTCACTAACTATCATCTATTTCACTAACTATCATCCATTTCATTAACTGTCATCTATTTTACTAACGGTCATCTAGTTCACTAACTGTTATCTAGTTCACTAACTATCATCTATATCACTAACTATCATCTAGTTCACTAACTGTCATCTATTTCACTTACTGTCATCTATTTCACTAACTGTCATTTAGTTCACTAACTGTCATTTTATTCACTAACTGTCATCTATTTCACTAACTATCATTTATTTCACAAACTATCATCTATTTCATTAATTGTCATCCATTTCACTAACTATCATCTATTTCAGTAACTATCATCTATTTTACTAACTATCATCTATTTCACTAACTATCATCTATTTTACTAACTATCATCTATTTCACTAATTGTCATCCATTTCACTAACTAGCATCTATTTCACTAACTATCATCTATATCACTAACTATCATCTAGTTCACTAACTGTCATCTAGTTCACTAACTGTCATCTAGTTCACTAACTGTCATCTTGTTCACTAACTGTCATCTAGTTCACTAACTGTCATCTAGTTCACTAACTATCATCTATTTCACTAATTGTCATCCATTTCACTAACTATCATCTATAACACTAACTATCATCTATTTCACTAACTATCATCTATTTTACTAACTGCCATATATTTCACTAACTGTCATCCATTTCATTAACTGTCATCTATTTTACTAACTGTCATCTAGTTCACTAACTGTCATCTAGTTCACTAACTGTCATCTTGTTCACTAACTGTCATCTAGTTCACTAACTGTCATCTAGTTCACTAACTATCATCTATTTCACTAATTGTCATCCATTTCACTAACTATCATCTATAACACTAACTATCATCTATTTCACTAACTATCATCTATTTTACTAACTGCCATATATTTCACTAACTGTCATCCATTTCATTAACTGTCATCTATTTTACTAACTGTCATCTAGTTCACTAACTGTCATCTAGTTCACTAACTATCATCTTGTTCACTAACTGTCATCTAGTTCACTAACTGTCATCTAGTTCACTAACTATCATCTATTTCACTAATTGTCATCCATTTCACTAACTATCATCTATAACACTAACTATCATCTATTTCACTAACTATCATCTATTTTACTAACTGCCATATATTTCACTAACTGTCATCCATTTCATTAACTGTCATCTATTTTACTAACTGTCATCTAGTTCACTAACTGTCATCTAGTTCACTAACTATCATCTATATCACTAACTATCATCTAGTTCACTAACTGTCATCTAGTTCACAACTGTCATCTATTTCACTTACTGTCATTCATTTCACTAACCATCATATATCTCACTTACTCGTCACCTCTTCCTCTAGCTTTGTCATCCCTTTCACTAGTTCCATAATCCATTCCACTGTGGCATTCCTTCCACTCATTTTGTCAAGCCTTTTGGTAACACTTCATCTTCACCATATTCTCTTATACACAAAATCTTCATTTTCATTTCTTACACTTCCTCCCTCCCCCTTTCACATACACATAAAAACGGGGGAAAAGGAAATCACACTCTGATCGATTTTTAGAAGTGTGGTTTTAAGGGTCTCCTACAACCTCAAAAACTGAAAAATGTTGTTTCCCGTCTTAATTATAACTTTCAATACTCATTTTGGAAAAAAACATTTTTATTTAGCGAAAGTTATATGGGAAACTAAGAAAGGTGATGGAAACTAAATGAAATCAACAAACAGTGTTCTAAAATTTAGGACTAGCCCAGGATTTGAACCCTGGATTTCTACCCGACAGAGCGAATTAGTCAAAGGAACTATCCTAGCTCAACTGTACTACACTTATATATATATATAAAAAAAGAAATTAAGGGGCGGTTACTATAAATATACAATAAACCCACTGTGCAGGGTCAATAATCCTTTAAGCTTAAAGACTTGCTATAAAGTGCTTATTTTTCCGCTAAACTGTTCTCGCATCACTTTTGGTAAACCTATCAATAACAACGCATTACCTATAGATCTGTAAGCACAGTTATCCAGAAACGAATTAGCCTAGTCGCAGCCTGGGGCTTTAATAAATCAGAATTTTCCGGAATAATGCATCCAGCTATTTAGCTACGTGTGTTCTGATGCAGATTAAACGAACATAGCATGTATAATCGAATAATCGACTAATATATATATATGTTTGGAAATTTAGCAGACCGATTTGGCAAGTCGATGAAGGTTGAAGCAGCAATGCCTCGTTTGTATGTTGTACATATCGATCTATGTTGTACATATCGATCTAGCCACAGTGTAGGTTATATAAATGAAGGTGAAAAACCTGCTGTCACGTTGAATAATTGACAGACCTCCTGCACTAAGAATTTATATTAGTATAGCTTACACAACATCTAATTCAGCGTTAAGAGGCCTATATGAAGTCGATTGGAATGATATCGACGAACAGTCTTGAATTTTTCAGAGAAAGCCTACGAAGAAATGTTATTGCAGTTTTTTCGATGATGCCAGTCGGGTACTGAGTCTTTACTGTCCAATTGTGTTTTACGTATGTTCTGATATTCCGAATCTACCTCATAAAGCAAACAGTTAGTAGAGTGTAATATATCGATGTTCGCACACTTAGTGACCTGTATATTTGGTTCCTAATGATTCGAATTGTGTATGTCTTCGTGTATGGCTTTCTTTATCGAGAAATTAATTTTTGATAGTTTGGTTCTTACTTAGAATTTCGAGTAATGTTATAAGAAGTATACCATCTGGTTAAATTGTAGTTTGATTGTAAGGTCAATAAAGATATAGATAGAACAAAGAACAAACACACAAGGAAACAACAAATATTCTACTGAAGTGAGCATGGCATTGATTTCTCTACGTTTTCAAGTTTTCTGTTTTAAAGCCGAAACACTTTTTTTCGCTAATCTTTTCATGTCATTTTCAAAACCAAACATTTTAACACAATTTCAAATAAAGACGGTTAACATTTTAATTATTTTTTTTAAATTTTAAGTGAAATAAAATAGAAAATAAAGACATATGACTATCAGAAAACATATTTAATATTTGTTTCAAATGCTAGTAATTAAGTATCCCTCATCTTGTTTATTAAGTCCTTTGAAATTGAAAAGGGTTTCATTTTGTATCTGGTGAACATTTTTTATATGCTATTCGGAACACCAATCTTACTTGGGTAACATCATGTACAGGAGATCCTCGGCCTTTTTCTTCTGTTCTAAGTAATCCGAGGTTCTCTCCTCCACCAAAGCCTCGAGGTTGTTAGCGTACTGCTCCATTCGAGATAACAGATTGTCAAGGATGTTTCCCTTGTCTCCATCCCTATTGAATGAAAAAATATAAATTCTTAGAAATAAATTGAATTAGAGCATGAATCTTCTGCGTTAAAGTGAGAATTTTGTGTATTGTCATAAATATTGTAAATTGTTTGCTTTGTTTTGCATTCTGCATCTTGAAACAATCAATGTGTTTTTTTGTCAAACTTAAGCTACATTCCGATTTATTTCTATTGATTATTTTATTGCAGTTAGAGATCTTGGATTGAATATTGATATCCAGTTATCTTGCATCGTATATGCAAGCAAAAATGAACATGTTCACATGTTATTACTTGGCCCTGGAAAGAATAACGGAAAACAAAGAGAAACTGTAAAACTTAACAAAAGAAATGAAATAATTCACCGGCAGAAAACACGGAGGTAAACTGAGTTGTTCCAGATTGTTTATATAGACAACTTGTCAAATAAAAAAAAACTAAGTTAGTCATCAACATCAATATGTTTTCCTAATCGCCTTCTCTCCAGGAAAAACCCGAGGCAGATTAAATCGTGTACAATGTATGGTATCATAATGCATTGTGTGTATAATCACTCACATGAAACATGACCTATTGGGTCGTCCCAATCCCCTTTATCCCCTTTATGGTCAGTGAAAGCCGATCAGGGTGGGCCAAAAATATATAAAACAGCAGCAAAGGAAAACCAATTGGAAAAAACCCATCATCAAAACCTTCGATTTTTTGTGGTGGAAATACTTCAGAAAGACCTTTTCTAAACCAAGTAGATTAGACCGTTTAAATGAACGAATGAGATTATCCAATTTCTTCCAGTGATTAGTGTCAATGCAATGTGACTATTTGCAAGTTCTGATATAAGAAAGTTCAGTGCGTCACAAGTACATGTGTTTCTGGACAACACTTCCAATCACAAGATAGCACTTTATTATTTAACAAAAATATCAGTTGATTATTATAGATGCATCGACCCTTTTTGAGCCCCACTATAGTAGATAATTGTTTGATTTGACATCATAAACGTAAAAGAATAGTTTGATGGAAAACACCGTGTGAGGCCCACCTTTGATGCCTTAATGGCTGACTTGTGACGGTCATTCGACCGTTCGCCCGGAAGTAAGATTAGAAATGACATCAATATTCCAAATGATTTTCCCTAAGAGGAAATTACAAGTAGTGTGATGTGAATTGTATTGGCTCATTTTGTGCTGACACCGCTTCCGGATTGTCGGCTGGGGAGGATGAGGACTACGGATTATTTACTCTTCATGTGAATTTGTCTGACAATTGTCTATAGCATTTCTGATAAATGATAAGCTCTTTTTAAACAACAGTAATTCCACGCGGAAATGTTAGAAACAATTAACTTATATATTTGTAACGTGTTATTTTTTTGACAGATTACTGCTTAAAACGTTGTAACAAGACATATATGGGTTGGTTTTTTGCATGGTTGTCTGTTTTAGAAAAACAAAGGTTGATTATACTCTAACAAAGATAAATTGCACGTGTTTGCCTGTACGGGGTTGCTAAGGTCAAGTACAGACGAGTGTCCTGGGAGACATTGCCCAAAAGAAAGAGTTGGAAATGTAAAAAAAAAAAAAAGATTTCAAGTATTGAAATGCGAGAAGCAGAGCTCTTAAGGCATCTTCAAAGTCTGATAAGATAACACATATAACACTGTTAAAACCATGGTGTGCGGGTTTTTTTCTGAACAGAACATAAAACTTGACATTTTACTTTAACAATGTATTTTAGAAAATTGTTAAGAATGAACAATTATTACATTTCGCTCCAAGAGGCGCTTAGTTATTCCTACAAAATGTTACCCAGAAAGCATTCACTCCTTTTAATGCAATACGTAAATATGCTCGGCAATAAACTATTTTTTCAAGTTCAGGTACAACTATTTCAAAGTGTGGTTTTAAACAACATATTTCCAGTAAGAACGGTCAGTGTGGTAACATGGTACCATAACATGATCCTCGGTAAAGCAATTTCAAATGACGTCATTAATACTCGGAAGTGCTGAAAGTATTGTTTAACGTCCTAAGGTCATTTAAGGACAGCCTCCCCTGTGTGCAAGATGCATGCGTGTAGTGTATGCGTGTATTTTGGGAGGTTGCGATATGTTCGTGTTTGTCTCCTTGTGATAGCGCAGAACTGATGCCGACTTTATAGTTCTATCTCACTGAACAATACTGCCGAAGACATCCAGCAGGACACCCCACCCGGTCACATTATGCTGACAATGAGCGAACCAGTCGTCCCATCCCTAAATTGCTGGGCGTTAAGCAGGAGTAAAAACTAACATTTTTACAGACTCTGGTATGTCTCGGCAAGGGGACAGTACCTAAAGCCTTCCTCACATGGGCAAACGGTCAACTAAAGGGCAAAACGTGAGGCATTTCCAAGGGAGACATTTGGAACAAGAAAGTTGATTAGAAAGAACAGGAAAGATAAGATCCCAAATTTAGTCGCCTCTTACGATCATGCAATGGGGGTAGCAGGTACAATTCTTACGCCCTACTTGCAGGGACGAAAAAATACGAAAAATATGTATTAAATCTCTGGCAAAATGACGGCATCAAATAAGAATCCAATCGCCATGAAATCTATTCCAGGCATTGCTTCAAAATCGATTGAGCAATAAAATTAATGTCAATCGCTTGGACGATTAATCGCGAAGAATGGAAGGTCGATGGGAGACGATAAGCGCTAGTTAGGCGTTATGTATGTATGTATTTATTTATTTGCTAGGGACACATTTTGTCAGCGACAAAATGCACTGGGAAATAGCTATCAATAACCGGAATTGATTTTTACATTTCAACCACTGGCGTCATTCACAGGCGGCTGTGTCATTCGAGGGTTTTGAATTTCTCAGCCGCCTCATCATCTTCAAATTGGAATTTTGCAATTTTTTATGATATACTTTTTTTTTCTCTCTCGATATTAACAATATTAAACGATTATTATAATTTTCATTATTGCTCTATCTCTGACATCATTTAAAGACATTAAATTTGATTTATGGCTTTGCATTTAAATACAATATTTCTGTGATCAACTGTGGTAAACACACCAGACATCTCACCACAGTACTTTTCTGGTTTATTTTAATTCTCCATTTGTCCGTGTACTAGATGAAGTGTTTGATCAATAAAAAAACGCTAAAATATCCAAAATGTCTGCCATTGTTCACATAAAATTGTCTAAGTAGAGTTCGCTTTGCATCTATCTCGTGACGACAGAATGTGTTTGCTTGTCTTCGCACCGTTTTATCGTAAATAAAATGTTTTAAATATCAATGGGGAATCTGTTTTGCCTACAAAGGAGACGATTTATACCGATTTTGCGAAAAATTGAAACGAAAAAAAAGCTGACCTAAATGTTCACAAACAACTTTCTTCATAAAAAAAGTAATATTTTATTAAATTATCATTTGAGCTGCATATAAGCATATATGGAAAGGCAATAAAACGTTGTTTTTTGTTTGACTTGCTGTATCGAAAAGTAATAATAATAATAATTCGCGGTTCATATCTACCGCTGTATCACAACCTAGTATGTAGATCGTCTCAAAGCATAGAGCCTTTGCAACCAGCTAATATCATTTTCAACTCCGTGGGAAGCATTCAACAATTCTAGCATTGTCTAACCACGTACTAATCTACAGCTGAGTAGACTGGAACAAGCGAAGTAAAGTATCTTGATCAAAGATAAAACATAGGGCTGTGCCGTGCCGTGACTCGACCCCGCAACCCTTCGGTCACGAGCCCGGCGTCCTACCACTAGACTATCGTGCCTCCACGTGCGGTTTGATTGGTTTGACCTTACTACGTACTTAGCATGCAATAGAAGTACATATCACAGTGTCACTTGGCATGGAACATGAGGAAACACCAACACAAAAATAAAAAATAAAATAAGCCCCTACAAATAACAGAGACGACTCTAGGAGTTCCGGAAGTGTGGTGTTTTCCAGCCCCACATGTGTTGCTCCCGTGGTGATGTCTCCACATATTAAAAACTATTTATTTTTTCTGTGTTGAACCTAATTTTTGTTATTATCATTAATTTTTTTTTTTCGAAATATGAACTTATTGTATATTATTCATTAAATTTTAATATAGCGTGATATTTAAATATTTCTGTCACATTAACAACAGTGATATAAAAAATCTTAAAAAAATAAATATATAGAATAACTACAAAGCCCTAATCTAGGAAACATGGGTTTTACATTATCCTTTTCTAGCGGGTACAAGTAAAGGTACATGTAATTAGTTATAACAATTGGCAAGAAGGAAATAGAAAGAAAAAACAGATATACTTTCATTATTATATATCATTAAATAACAAAACATTTCGCGGGTTTTGGTCTACCGAGGCGGAGACTAAAACAATGTACATTGCATGAATTTGCAAATGCAATTTGTAGACAAGTAAACCCAATAGAGCCTGACATCCAGAAAAGCAATGACAAAAGATAGCATGCATTAACAAAACGATTTTTACAAGGTTGGGAAATTATGTAATAAATAAACCAATGGTAACTCCAACTATATATAAATGGTTATTGATAAAATGGATAGGTCTGGTTTGATATATATTTCTATCACAAAAGCTTTGTATTATCTTCATCCTTCCGGCTACAGACAGTTTTTAGTTAATTTTGTTCAAGTCAGTCTTTAGGCCATTTTGCTTTGTACAATGATTGACGAGTACCAAAAATAACTTTTAATACATTGATTTACAGCATTCGGAAAAAAGTGACACATTCCCAACACGCAAAGCAGATATTGTTTTCAATATCATTGTGGTTTTATTTGATCAGCAGACACGATAAGGTCTTCTGCACGGCCCAAATATTTCATAATTGTAGAAATCCATTTCCATGATTCTATTTTAAATAAAACCTTACGGATGATCCAAACGTTGTAATATTTGAAGATTTTTGTTGCTTTTCGGGTTCATATTTATTTTCATTTTTACTGTTATCATAATTAATTTTTGTTTTTATTTA